GAGGAGGAGGAGGATGATAATAAATAATTAATGATATAACAATAATGATAATAATGATAGCAATAATGCTGATGATAATAATAATACTACTGCAAGTAATAATGGTAATAATAACTCTTATCATTAACATTATTATCCTCATTATCATCATCATTTTGATTTTTTATTACTGATATTGCCTCAACAGTCTGAATAAGGATACTAATAATGATAATGATAATGATAACAATAATAATGATCATAGTAATATCAATTATAATCTGAAGACGCAAATTTCAATAATAATGATGCTCCAGTTCCAATGATCAAACACCCAAAATAACAAATAAAAAAAGACAATACTAATAAATTGGTAAATACTAAATTCCCTCTTTTTCTCTGGCGACCCCTGGCAGCCCGTCCCCCGCCGAAGTCCCGGATGAGCGATAACCAAAATCCAGTAGCAACCAGTAGCAAAAAAATATAAATAAAAATCAAAATAATAAACAATACTAATAAACAGATATATATTTTTTTAAATGCCTCCTTCACTCTGGCGACCCCTGGCAACCCGTCCCCCGCCGAAGTCCCGGATGAGCAATGGCGGCGCGTATCTCCCGCGCGAATCACGTGTCTCCGTCGCGAGCGATCGGTCAGCGTGACGTGGCACAACCAACGCTTCCTCTATCTCCTTATCAGCGTCATTTATCTTCGTCTTTATCGCGATGGAGGAATGATGGGTTAGGGTGCTTCGGGGGGGGGGGTGAGATATCGGTGTGGGTTGGAAGGGTTGCCATATTTGTGTGTCTTTTTTTTCTTTCTTTTTTTTCTTTTTTTTCTTTACCTGTTTTTTTTCTGGTTCATTTTTTTTCTGTTATCATTACAGACATCATTATTATTATTATCACCATTCTTCTTATTCTGATTCTAATTCTTATTCTTATCCTTATTCTTATTCTGTTGTTGTTATTATCATTATTATTATTAATTATTATTATTATTATTATATTATTATTATCATCATTATTATTATATTATTATTATTATTATTATTATTATTATTATCATTTTGTTTATTATTATTATTATGCATTATTATTATATTATTATTATTATCATTATTATTATTATTATTAT